TGTGAAGATCAGTGCCGCGTCCTTGTACCGGGCATCTTCATTCTCACAGTAACTGTGGAAAAGGAGAATGGAGCAGGGTGGGAGGGCGTCAAGACTCAACACCACGGCTGCCTTCTGCCCCCCCTCGAAGGCTGCCTGCAAGCACTGGTCAATGCCTTCCTTCGCAACATCGCTGTCCATATTCCTATAGTCTTTGCCATTGATCAGAGCCATGCTAGTGTTTTTCGCCAGCAGGGTTTCCGACAGAAGAGTTCCGAGTTTTTCAGTGAGGCACTTTGTACTGTCGGCAGCAGCAGGCCGGCTGCCAAACAGCAGGACAATGGGTACGACAGGATCGGAGCCTTGGGCGAGATGCCCATTGACTGTGGCCTCCACTATGTCCCAGAAATGTTCACCCTGTGTTGGGAACAAGCTCTTCAAATTCTGCATGCGTTGGGTGTATTCCAACTGCCTAACCGAAGCAGGTTTGTCACCAGGCATGTACATTTTGTACGGATACACAAGAACTGCAGCAATTAAGACTAAGACGGATACAAGGAGCAGATTCTTAGCCCGTCGGTTTATGATTTCTCTGACCTGTTTGTAAATTTGTGCAACTTTGTAATACTTGCCACTTTCAGCTGGCATTCGGGTCGAGAACTTATTGTTTTCGTTGCCCTGGTTCTGATCTGCAGGCTTCTGAGGGGTCTGATCTTGGTCGCAACTTGCATCGCGCTGCTCCTGATCAGTCAGATGACTGGCCTTCCGATCCGGCTCATCATGGCCATCCTCCTGGTTTGCACTCTTCTGGCCTGTTTCATCAACTGGAAGTGCCTGCTCCTTTCCATCATTGGTCTTGAATTTTCCCTGGAGGTTCCTTGTCTCTGCACTGATCTTTGATGGTTCCATGCCTCGTTTCTTGCTCTGGGAACGTGTTGTACTCGGCATCCTGAAAATTCAAGTAACGGCATTACTACTAGTCTTCAAATCTGTGTTTCTGGAATGGTTTAGTAAAAAAGATTTATTTTTTATTTTCAATGACGAAACTCTAACCCCAAATTCTGACAAAAATTGACTGAGTGATATCAGCCAGAAATTCAGAAATTGCATAAACCGTTTTAAGGATGGAGCAGGAGCGAGCCACACTAGTGGGGCTAAAATTTAAAACGTCCCCTCTTTTTTTCCTTTGCTACAGCTAAAACTGCAACACAGTGAAAACTAGAAATGTACTTGTGGTAAGCAAGGTTACGCTACGGGATTCCAATCTCAATGTTAAAAAAATACCTAAACTTGTAAAGATTAAACTGTACCCGTCGAAATGGGCGGAAATCAGCAATCGATCGCAAAAAACCAGCCGTGGGGAAATTCCCAAGCGCGGGTTAGGCCTCGAGGAGCGCTAAGACTCCAGAGGGGGCTATTGCAGTATAGCACTCACGCTATCGTCGATATCGTGGAACTGGAAGGCCAAAACAAAATTAATTTGACCGTGTAAATCTCCCGTATAGTGACGGTATGTAACGAAGCACTTGAAAACCGAATTGTGTAAGATGTTATTGACTGAATGTTTTACATGTGCAATTTGTTTTATATTATTCAAATTCCCTTTGTAAAGTGATTTTTTTGGGGTAATTACTCCATAACGGACATGTCCGACGTATCCAAATGACAGCAACTTTTATTAATACATCGCATAGGCCCNCCACAACCGAAGCAGGTTTGTCTCCAGGCATGTACATGTACATATTGTACAGACACCCAAGGCCTACAGCAATTAACAAGACTAAGATGGACAAGACGAATACAAGCTGCAGATTGCCAGCCAGTCGCTTTATGATTTCTTTCACCAGTTTGTTAATTTGTGCAACTTTGCAATCCTTGTCACTTGTCGATAACTTATTGTTTTCGTTGCCCTGGTTCTGATCTACAGGCTTCTCAGGGGTCTGATCTTGGTCGCAACTTGTATCGCACAGATCAGTCAGATGACTGGCCTTCCGATCCGGCTCATCATGGCCATCCTCCTGGTTTGCACTCTTCCGGCCTGTTTCATCAACTGGAAGTTCCTGCTTCTTTCCATCATTGGTCTTGAATTTTCCCTTGAGGTTCTTTGTCTCTGCACTGATCTTTGATGGTTCCATGCCTCGTTTCTTGCTCTGGGAACGTGTTGTACTCGGCATCCTGAAAATTCAAGTAACGGCATTACTACTGGTCTTCAAATCTGTGGTTCTGGAATGGTTTAGAAAAAAGATTTAGTTTTTATTTTCAATGACGAAACTCTAACCCCAAATTCTGACAAAAATTGATTGAGTGATATCAGCCAGAAATAGAGAAATTGCATAAACCGTTTTAAGGATGGAGCAGGAGCGAGCCACACTAGTGGGGCTAAAAGTTAAAACGTCCCCTCTTTTTTTCCTTTGCTATAGCTAAAACTGCAACACAGTGAAAACTAGAAATGTACTTGTGGTAAGCAAGGTTACGCTACGGGATTCCAATCTCAATGTTAAAAAAATACCTAAACTTGTAAAGATTAGACTGTACCCGTCGAAATTGGCGAAATCAGCAATCGATTGCAAAAAACCAGCCGTCGGGAAATTCCCAAGTGCGGGTGAGGCCGCGAGGAGCGCTACGCTAAGACTCCAGAGGGGGCTATTGCAGTATAGCACTCACGAAATATATCGTCGATATCGTGGAACTGGAAGGCCAAAACAAAATTAATTCATGTGTTCCTTCCTCCATGATTAATTTGACCGTGTAAATCTCCCGTAAAGTGACGGTATGTAACGAAGCACTTGAAAACCGAATTGTGTAAGATGTTATTGACTGAATGTTTTACATGTGCAATTTGTTTTATATTATTCAAATTCCCTTTGTAAAGTGATATTTTGGGTAATTACTCCATAACGGACATGTCCGACGTATCCAAATGTAAACAACTTTTATTAATACTCCGAATAGGCCTAGGGCCTATTATTAAAATTTAAATATTAGTTTTGTTACGCCCCAACTGTAGCGACTATAGTTGGGACAGTCCC